GAAAAGGGCCCAGGTTATTCCTACGCAGAGGGTCTTAGGCCCACTAGAGAAACTAAGCGCCGTTTGCTCCTTACCTGACACCTGTTGAGAGGCCTCCTGGGAACATTTAAAGGAAAACAGAAACACACGACCACAAACAAGTCAAGTGCCGAAACCTACTCGCATGACGCCACAAGTCCAACTACACCAAGGTTCTCGATGGCATGAAGCTGGGCCCAAAGCCAGGCCAGGTCACTGCCTCTGCACCTGCCCCGGCGTGTGCGGCCACGAGCGGCGCGGATACCTACACATGTTCGCGAGCAGGGCGGGCGGCGGAGGGAGCGCCGCGCCGGGCCCCTGGGGCCTGCCAAGGTCACAGTGGAGCTCAACAGGGGCTTCTTTGTCGCCCGGACTCTCCTCCCGACCCCCTTTTCCCTTGAGGAAACAGCACCTCTGCAGAAAACTGGAGATGGTATTTCCCCAACCTTCCCTATGAATGTGGCAGGTGTGATGAGCGGGACCCCAGGGGCGGGCCGGCAGCCCTGAGGCCCCGACGCCCTACGCCCGGGCCTACATGAGCTGTCACCGCAGACCCGCGGGCGGCCGGCCCTGCCAGCGACGTACGTCAAAACCCCGAGGGCCGCTCTGGCCGCCGCAGCGTCCTAGAAGGAGGCGACAGGCCCGCGGCGCCGTCCCCGGGTCCCTTTACCTGGAAAGGCCGGTCGCCCGAGGCCGAGCGAACGTCGAGACGGGCCGGATCCAGGCGCTCGGGGCACAAGACCCTCAGCCCCGCGGGGCTTTGCGCGCAAACCGCGCCCCCGGCCCACCCAAAGGCCTCTGGGAGATGTAGTACGTCCGAGTTCCCGAGGCCCCACCCCCCGCGGGCCGGGAGGACTACAGTGCCCGGCATGCACCGCACGGGCGCTGCGAGCGGGGGCGGGAGGGTTGTCCACGGCCCGAGGTCATCCCCATCCTCTAGGGGCTACGCGTACCCAGCCTTGCCTCCAGGGGCTCCACGGGAAGCCGTTTGGGGTTGCCGAGCCGACTCACCGTTTCACAGCACTCGCGGCGCCACAGCAGCACGAATAGCCGCGTCCGCAGCTCGCCGCCGCTCGACTGTTGGAAGAAGGCGGGCAGACTTTGGAGCCTGGCCCAGGCTTGTGGCGTCATTCTGAGGGGCGGTGCCATGAGATCAGCGCCGGGGCGGTGCCTCACGGCGGCACGTGACGAGCGCTCCTGGGCGGAGGTGGGAGAACGCAGGCCGCGCGCGTCGGGGCCAGAAGCCCGGGGAGTAGTGGGGGGGTCAGGTGGAGGCGTGAGGGGGGCTCGGCGCACGTTCGTGCCCTCCAGGCGCTTTCGGTCGTTTACTCGGCGCGTATCTTTAGAGTTTAGGGCCTGTGCATTATGTGGGCGTGCGCGAGGTGGGAAGGACGGCTTGCCTGACGTGGAGGGAGCCAGATGAGGTGGAGTAACGCCGCGCTCTGCCTTCGTGTTTCAGCTCTCGGACTGTAAACAAGTGTTCTTGTGTATTGTGATGCCGTGTTTTATGCATGTTTGTGCTTTTGTTGGTGATTTTGCTGTTTAAAATGGCCCCAGGCCTGGTGCTGAAGTGCTGTCTAGCGTTGCTAAGCTCGAGAACGCAGTGATGGGCCTTACAGAGAAAATACCTGTGTTAGGTAAACTGTTAAGGCTTTGAGTTAAAATGCTGTTGGCCTGGAGTTCAGTGCTACTGAATTAACAATATTTATTAACTAAGGTGTCTTATAAGCAGAAACTCGTTATGTATTGTTTGGTTGATGCAAATGGAACCAGAGCGTGGAAGGAACCTTACCCCGTATTTCCCCTAGGATCAGTGCTTCAGTATTAGCTCATTCAGTTTTCGTGGCAACCTTAGAGCATGTAACTACTTCTAATAATGATACTCAACTGGAAATGATTTGATTGACATTCTAGAGAATCATTCTGATTGCTGCATAGAGAATGGTTTAAACCAAGAGCAGCAATCAGGAAGCTGGAAGACCAGCATATATACAATTTAAACATTTTATACTTAACCACATTTTTTTAAAGTAAAAAGAAACAGATGAGATTAATTTAACCCAATACATGGAAAGTATTATTTAAATATTTATTCGATATAAAAAATTACCCAATGAGATAGTTTACATTCTTTTACTACCACACTGTCTTCAAAACCCAGTGTGTATTTTATACTTACAGCAGCACATCTCAGTTTGTACCAGCTACGTTTCAAGGCTTCAGTAGCTATATGTGGCTTGTAGCTACCATACAGGACAGTGCAGATACCCAACATTTATTCATTTACTTATTCGACCAAGCAAGATCTTGTTCTAAGACAAGAGAATGGAATGAAACCCAGTATCTGTTCTCGAAGTGCACACAGCCCAGCTAGAGAAACCAATATAATAGTACTGAAGACATTAAAACAAAGTGCTTTGCCTTGAGAGGTCAGGGAAGGAGCACCCAGATGAGGAAAGCTTCAGAGAGGAGACACACATTTAAGTTGGGACCTGACAATATGTGAGTTCCAGGTGAAAGAAGTGGGGAAAGACATGCCAGGAACTAGTTGCAAACATTCAGAGCATCTTTGGGGAAATGCAAGAAGTTTATCGTATCGTGGATTGTAGGGTATGAAATGAGAGGTTAAGTGGGTGGGGAAAGGTGAGGGTCTTAAAGACCAGTTTATGGAATGTAGGACTCACCCTATCAGTAGTGGGGAATATTGAGAATTATGACCAGATCTGTTTTAGACAGAGCGTTCTGGCAATGTGGTAGGGATGGAAATTGGAGGCAGCAAGACCCATTAGAAAGGGAAGAGGCCTAGGATTGGTCCAGAGGAAAGACCCTGGGGATTGAGAAGAGGGTCAGAGAGGACGGAGGGCGAAGGGTGGCCCGGTGGCCCATGCAGTAGTGGTCACTAGAACAGGACACGCAAACCTTACTATGCCAGAGGCTGAGGGAAGACCTGCTGACCCTCTAGAGTCCACTGAATAGCAGAGGATTTGTGAGCCAATGAGAGCCTAAAATTCAGAAACTGAGTTCAGATCTTGGACCACACCACTGTATGGCCTTTTTCAAATCTTTAATTTTCTAACTACCAAATGGGGATAAATACAATGCCAGCCTCATCGGGCTGATGAGAGGATGTAACGGTTTACTGCAGTTAGATTGCTTTGCAAGGTGTGTGGCACATGCTGGCCCCCGACACAAGTGGTTGTTGTTATTTGCTATCCTTTGAGGGCCCTGGGCCTCAATTCCCTTACTTACAAAATGGAATTCCCATCTCCCACTTGCTGGTAAAGAATCAAGAAATAAATGAGATGATTGAATTGTATTTGCACTTACAACTAAAGGCAAATGTTCCTCAGAAGATTAAACACTAGCAATTCCACTCCTGGGAATATGCCCAAGAGAACAAGGACATGAAAAATATGTCCACACAGAAAACATACACAGATGTCCAGAACATTGTTCATTTTCATGTCATGAATGTTCACATTCTCTTTAGCCAAAAAAGTGGAAACAACACACGAGCTAATAGACAAAATATTGCATATCCATAGAATGGAATTTTATTTCCACCATAAAAAGAAGTGATGTATTGACATGGTTCATGAATGAACCTTGAAAACATAATGCTCAGGAAAAAGCTCATCACATAAGATCATGTATTGTGTGATTCTGTTTCTGTGATACGTTCAGAATAGGCAAATCCATTGAGATGGAAAGATGAGTGGCTGCTGGGGCTGGAGGTTCAGAGGAATGGGTGCTGAGTGCATACGTGCAGGGCTTTCTTTTTGGGGTGATGAAAATGTTCTAACATTAATAGTCTGTCTAACATTAGTGAAAACGGTTGCCCTACTCTGAATATACTAAAAACCATCGAACTGTATATTTCAACGGCTGAATGTGGATTATACCTTACTAAAGTCTCCCCTCAAAAAAATAGGGAGAGACTACACCCAAGCAAGTCTGGAAGAATCAGGCACATAATGAAACAGGAAAATAAAGGCAAGCAGCTCTGTGCAGAGAAGGGGTGACATTACCCATGTTATTTGCTGTAGAATCCTCATGGAGCATATCTGAGACCAGGAGCCCACGACTGTCTCCACAGGTGTCACGATCTGTCATTGGCAGTCTTGCAGTGTACCTGCTTACCTCACCTTTCCCTGGGGAGCGTTCACTGTCTGCAGACATCTCCCCTTCCCACCAGCACACACGCATGGCTCTGTCCGTGTCCCCAGCCGCCTCCTTCTGACTCTGAGGCTCACTCTTACACCGTCAAGCCAGAGGCCCTTTATTTTTAGTCCAGATTTTAGCATATCTGGGGCAGTTGGGGCACCACAGACCCAGCACGCCCTCAGGGGCAGGTGCCTTTGCACCTGGTGGCCCTGCCACCAGATGATCCTCCTGCCACTGGGTGGACACATGCTGGCCTTGGCGGAGCTGGCCCACGGGGGAACTGTTTGCCTCCTGGGTTGTACAGAAAGGTGCCCAAAGGTGGAGAGAGCGGGAGCTCTGCTGCCTGCTCTGCAACCAGGCCATCTGCTGGCAAAGTCGTGGGGCAGGGGATGCGGTCCATGCCCATTTGCCTTTCCTTCTTGGATTTGGAGCCTGCGCACAGAGCACTGGGGGTAACATTCATCCCTCTTAGCTTAGCGCTCTTGAGCCAGAGTTTAAAGTAGGCCTGGTTCTTACAATGAGCTTGAACTTCATTCATCTATGCAACCAGCACCAGGTCAAACAGGGTGTCCATCCTTCCAGCAACCTTCTCTGTGCCCCCTTCTACGCACTTCCCCCCATGAGGAAGTCACTAGCCCAACTCCTAAGAAAAGGTTCTCTGTGCCTGTCTTTGTATCTCCTATTGTGAGTTGGAGCCAGTTGGAGTGGACAGTGCAGCACTCCTGTTGCCGTGGAGCCCCGGCATCACCAGGGGCACCCCCTCTTCCCACAGTCCTCTGCCAACCTTAGAGCATGTAACTACTTCTAATAATGATACTCAACTGGAAATGATTTGATTGACATTCTAGAGAATCATTCTGATTGCTGCATAGAGAATGGTTTAAACCAAGAGCAGCAATCAGGAAGCTGGAAGACCAGCATATATACAATTTAAACATTTTATACTTAACCACATTTTTTTAAAGTAAAAAGAAACAGATGAGATTAATTTAACCCAATACATGGAAAGTATTATTTAAATATTTATTCGATATAAAAAATTACCCAATGAGATAGTTTACATTCTTTTACTACCACACTGTCTTCAAAACCCAGTGTGTATTTTATACTTACAGCAGCACATCTCAGTTTGTACCAGCTACGTTTCAAGGCTTCAGTAGCTATATGTGGCTTGTAGCTACCATACAGGACAGTGCAGATACCCAACATTTATTCATTTACTTATTCGACCAAGCAAGATCTTGTTCTAAGACAAGAGAATGGAATGAAACCCAGTATCTGTTCTCGAAGTGCACACAGCCCAGCTAGAGAAACCAATATAATAGTACTGAAGACATTAAAACAAAGTGCTTTGCCTTGAGAGGTCAGGGAAGGAGCACCCAGATGAGGAAAGCTTCAGAGAGGAGACACACATTTAAGTTGGGACCTGACAATATGTGAGTTCCAGGTGAAAGAAGTGGGGAAAGACATGCCAGGAACTAGTTAAGCAAACATTCAGAGCATCTTTGGGGAAATGCAAGAAGTTTATCGTATCGTGGATTGTAGGGTATGAAATGAGAGGTTAAGTGGGTGGGGAAAGGTGAGGGTCTTAAAGACCAGTTTATGGAATGTAGGACTCACCCTATCAGTAGTGGGGAATATTGAGAATTATGACCAGATCTGTTTTAGACAGAGCGTTCTGGCAATGTGGTAGGGATGGAAATTGGAGGCAGCAAGACCCATTAGAAAGGGAAGAGGCCTAGGATTGGTCCAGAGGAAAGACCCTGGGGATTGAGAAGAGGGTCAGAGAGGACGGAGGGCGAAGGGTGGCCCGGTGGCCCATGCAGTAGTGGTCACTAGAACAGGACACGCAAACCTTACTATGCCAGAGGCTGAGGGAAGACCTGCTGACCCTCTAGAGTCCACTGAATAGCAGAGGATTTGTGAGCCAATGAGAGCCTAAAATTCAGAAACTGAGTTCAGATCTTGGACCACACCACTGTATGGCCTTTTTCAAATCTTTAATTTTCTAACTACCAAATGGGGATAAATACAATGCCAGCC